GAGCTGTGTCCAGCTGGGCTGCAGGGACCGTGCACGGGCCATTCCCGGGGCACCCGCCGCACTCGCCCTTGGCTGGGACACTCGGGCTTTTAGGGAGGGCTCCAAGGAGCTTTGAATTTAATGCTGGCGTTTACCCTGGGAAGAATTTCCCAAGTAGGTGGAAATTCATGATCTCCATCAAGGAGGAGCAGGGAAGGCACCATCCTCGTGCACTAATACTCCGCCTTTTGGGGATGGTTTTGGATAATTATTCCCCAGACACCGATATTACTCTTTCTCAGGAATTCTAGCTCGTTTAAAACTTTAGCCAGCATTTGCATGTTATTTTACACCAGCTTTTGGCTCCTGGTGGAGAGGGGACCCGAAGGACCGCAGGGGCTTTTCAGGCTCGGCTCGGGCTCGGGCTCAGCTCTGGTGGGAGGGAGGGAGCTCTCTCGCTCTCTCGCCGGCCAGATGGTTTGTTTTCACTYGGTATCAAACTCGCTGCTTGTCTCGGTGGCTCCCGACAGCTCATCCTCCCACGGCCGCCTCCGGGAGGGCACCGGCGGTGCTGGAGCGTCCCCGGCAGCACAGGGACCCTCCCCAGCACAGGGACCCTCCCCAGCACAGGGACCCTCCCCAGCACAGGGACCCTCCTCAGGGACCCTCCCCAGCACAGGGACCCTCCCCAGCACAGGGACCCTCCCCAGCACAGGGACCCTCCCCAGCACAGGGACCCTCCTCAGGGATCCTTCTCAGCCCTTGTTCCCTGGCCCCACGGAGGAACGCGGATTCCTCGGGATGGAGCCGGCAGAATCCCTCTTGCTGGCCCCAGCCCCTGATGGAGGGAATTAAGGAGCGGATTTGGCTGGGAACAGCCCCCAGGTTCTCTCAMAGGGACGGGGGAAGGCAGATGTGCAGCTTTGTCCTAGGAAGGACATTAAAGATCTTGTCCCGGAGAACCCACGGGGTTGGGTTGTGGCCAACGTGACTAAACCTCCTCTTCCTCTCTSCTCACCCTCTGTCTGCCATGTCAGACTTTTTAAAAAGCACCTTTCGTTTTGCAACGCTCTTGCTCAGAGCCTCATTATTCAGGCTGAGCTCGTTTCCTCGGGAGCCCTCATCCCTGCCTGATAAGATAAGCTCCCCAAAGAAAGGTTTTGGGACCCTGACTCACTGGAGAAACCTTCAGCAGTGCATTCACACAGCCTCTAACGCACTCAACTGTTTGATGGGCTTATCAGTGAATTCAAATGTTCATCTATGGTCACTGGAGGCCAGCCCAGATCCAGGAGCGAGGTCATCCCGATCACTGTTAAGCCTGGAGACTCATCCTATCTGCACCGCCCCACATATTCACAGCCCTTTCTCCACCCTGTCCCCAGAACCCTCCTGCCCTGGACTCCGGCAGGGACTCTCAGAGCCCCTGGAGCCGTTCTGGGTTCTGCACAGAGGTGAATCCCCGCTGTGCCCGCAGCTCCAGCCCTGGGCAGTGCCAGGGGCTCTGTGCCCCGTGCCCCGGGACAGCTCCGGGCTGTGCTCCCCATCCAGGGCACGATCTGGCTCCAGGTTATCACTGCTGCTGCTCTGGCAGGCTGTGTCTGGGGATTTACAGACGGCAATAAATCCCCAGGAGAAGCAGCTGTAAGGTCTCCATCCATGGACCCCCCAAGAGAAAGCAGGCCCAGACCCCGAATATTTGCCCTGGCCAGCCCCTTGTGAAGGCACCCGTGGTTTTCTTTTCCATGTGCAGTGAGGTCTCAGCCCCAAGGATGACATTTCTGATTGCATCAGCGGGGCTGAGGCAGCTGATACTGGGTGGGGGCAGAAACCCTATTGTCCTGGGTGGGGGCAGAAACCCTATTGTCCTGGGTGGGGGCAGAAATCCTATTGTCCTGGGTGGGGGCAGAAATCCAATTGTCCTGGCAATAAATCCAGGATGACTCTGGGAGCAGTTGCTTGGCTCTCAGCGAGTCAATTCACTGTCACTGCTAAGACAGAAGGGAATCCACGGATGCTTTCCACCAGCATCCCAATCCCAGCCTGGTTTCCCCTGGCTGGCCCCAAAGCACCCCATCTGTGGGGTGGATGCTTTGGCAGCGGCCCCAGTGGGTGATGAGTGTGTCAGGGCTCTGTGTGCCAGCTGTGCCCAGCTGTGCCCAGCTGTGCCTCTGGCAGCAGGACCAGCAGGTTATCGGGTGCCTCTGGAAGCCCCCAACAACTGCAAATGATCAACCCCAGGGGGATTTTTTCCCCTCCCCTCAGCTCTGGAGTCAATTGTCAGCCGTGCTTTTAAAGACACCCTTGTCGGCAGCCCGGCTATGCTTTTCTGCTCCGGAGGAATTCCTCTAAAACAATAATAGTGACATTGTTCCTCACTTTGCTGGCGGTTTTATAGGGCTCRCGTTGGAGAAAGGTGACCATGGCTGCCTTTTGGCCACATGTGTTTACACAAGGAAATGCATGTGGGTTTTGGGGTGGCGCCTGGAGTCAGCAGCCGCTCTCTGTACTCCTGACCCTTACAGAGCTGCTTTCTTGCTTCTGGGTACGTTTACTGCACTCCAGATGTGAGCTGGCTCCAGCAAGGCTGCGGAGCGCCAGGGATCTGGCATCCCCAGACTCATCAGTCCGTGGGGTAGAATGCCATGGTGGTTGTTTTAAAAGCTGTAATGCGTCTTGGTAACACATCATGATTTATTCAGCCCTTGTTTGACAGGGCGCCTTTATCAAAAGCCGATGCTCAGCCCGGGCTCGGCGGCGCTGCCGAGGGAGCYGCTCCTTCCCCGGGATTTGGGCTTTGCTTGGGATCCCGGTGAGGTGGGACCCCCCTGTGCCACCCACACCCACCCTGAGGGGCTCATTTGGGGACACTGTGCTGTGGGGGCACCTCCACACCGGGGCTGCTGGAGCATCACCAGAGGAGCCCTGATTTGAGCAGAGCAGTGTCCCTGCTGCCAGCGGGAGCCCCGGGACCCCAGGAATGTGGGGTGACCGTGGGGTGAACTGGGGGTGATCTGGGGGTGATCTGGGGATGATCTGGGGATGATCTGGGGGTGATCTGGGGGTGACCTGGGGATGATCTGGGGATGATCTGGGGGTGATCTGGGGGGGTGACGGTGTCACAGCCTCTCCTGGCAGAACCCCAATTCACTTTGGCCTCACTCTCAGGCACACAAGAGTTGGTGGAAGGAGAGGAAAGAAGTGCAAATGGAGCTTGGGGAGAACCAGGCAAAGCCAGAGCAGAGCGTGGGCAGTGAGGGAGCCCCGGACAGGCAGAGCAGCAGTGCTGGGGAGCCCCTGCCCACAGCTCACAGTGCCCAAAAACTGCCCCTGCTCTGCCCCACAGCTCTGCCCTTGCACCAGTAAACCACAAACACAGGGAAAAGGGAAAAGGGAAAAGGGAAAAGGGAAAAGGGAAAAGGGAAAAGGGAAAAGGGAAAAGGGAAAAGGGAAAAGGGGAGGGTCCCAGGATTCACAGGCTGAGAAGAGCTCGCTGCTGGCAGCAGAGAGGAGCCCGAGGAGGGCAAACCCAAACCCTGCCCTGGTGAGTTTGGGGGAGCAGCCCAGGATGGGGTTTGGCCCAGCCCTCCATCCCTGCTCCAAMCTCCACATTTGTGCCATTCCCATGGGCACGGATGGAGGCAGCACACTGTGGCCCCGGATTAGGAATGAGCTTCTGGTTTAGAGATATTTATTTGCTTTTTATCATAATGGGAAAAAAATGCAATGGCAGATAGAAGAGGAAGGAAAAAACCCCAATCTGGGTCAGGATCTCACACTGGCTAGTTCACTTCACAGTTTAAGTAAATAGTTCTCATCCCAAAACCCTTCAG